GTAGTAGGTAATTTGGACAGTTTTAAAGTTTATATTTTATTGCGATTAACCACTAACCCCAAAATAAAGTTGCATTCTTTTGGTTATAAATACAGTGTTGAGTTACTACTGAATAGTAATTTGATAGTTGCCCAACAAATGTAGTTTTACTAACAGTAGTTTTTCTTTTGTACTGTAATTACCACGTAATTGTATGGTAATAAGGTGGTAATTATATTTATTACTATTTTTCATTACCTTGTAATTACATGGTAATAAGAAAGCGTTACCAACAACACTGGAACCATTTTTACCAACTTTTTCTGCTTCTATCATTTTTAATCTTTATTCTGCCATCAGCAAATTTGTGTGTAAAGATAAACTGAGAGGAAACTGTACATAAGTAAAAACAAAAGTTTGGGGAGAAGTGAAGAATAATCTTTCTCTGTAAATTGAAATGTTGTTTATTTGGACTTTCACACCACTGAACGTTGTGGGTATTTTAACTGTTTTCTTAATTTAGTGCAGCCAGAAAATAATTTAAACAGAATAAACTATCCAATGTARTGTGCTAATGAATCCATCACTGCACAACCTTTCCATCTGACCAAGTCTTTCAATCTCACATCCAGTCAGAAGTCTTTTTGATCTTATTTTGAGACTCAATCAAGAGCAGAATATGTTACATTTTCTGTTTTTTTCTTATTTCACAAAGTTTTACCAAGGAAAATCATCTTACTTATCTTATTTCACTTGATTTGAAAGGATCAAAATGGTAATCTAGTATTTTTTAAAACTTAATTTTAACGGGTAATTTTTGCAATATGTTCACCTCGCACAATAATGAAAGTCATGAAAGATGCTTAGCTCTGCCTTTGTACGGCTTTTAAAACAAATGAAAAAAATTAAACTAAAATAAATAAATACAGAGTTGTGCAGGTATTAGATAGCTTTTTGTACATGTGGGAGACTGAAACAGAAATGAAAACCCCGTTTAGGCTAAACACAAACATCATGACACTTTCACAACACAACAAGCCCACCTTCAGGTTCAGTTCATATGTGCAACATTTCACATCAAATATAAGAACCAAAAGATTCCCACATTTATTATTCTGGTGTTCAAGATTTTTAGATGTTGTTTTAAACAATATGTTTCCATATTTTTTCATTATGATTTATCAAATCAATGCATTTTTCTCTAAACATTTAATACATTTATTAAGCCTTACATTTTGTAAATACTTTATCATGTTAAGATTTGAATGTGTATTCAATGTTTTATTTATGTACTTGGCTTGTTACCAGTTGTATTTTGTGAATAAGTGTTTCAACATACTATAATCTTTTTCTATTCTTTTGAATTGCCATCATATGTATTTGTTTAAACTTTTAAGTTTGGAATCCTGTAGTAGTCAAAGCAAAGTTAATTCTCATATTAAAAGTTTCAACACTGAGCATCATTCAAATCATTCAGTAAACTATGGTACACTTTGTTCTTATAGGTAACATTTTCTTCACCGGGTTTATAATTACATACAGCATTTAGTTTTGCATATCTTTTACAGTCTACTTATGGTGAAGCAGGGCCCCCAAAACAGATCTTGCTTAGGGCCCCCAAATGTCTAGGGCCGGCCCTGCCTA